CAACCATCAAATCTGCTTCTGCACCAATTGTAGCCTCCACTATTATTTAAATACCCGCACGAGGTCATATTGTCCTTCAAAAATACGATAGACTAATATACACAAATGGAAAGGTCTAAGCAAAAAAATATGCATGCTGTAGTTGGTATAAAACACATCTTTGGTATTACATGTACAAGTTTAAAAAAATCTTTCGGTAAAGCAGAAATACTACGAAAGACAACTCTAAAAGTGTTAAAATTTGTCAATATTTCCCCAAAATGGATTTAGCATACCTTTATAAAATCAAGTTACCACTAATGAGATAAATAAAAAAAATTTAAAGACGTCTGTCAACAATTGACAAATGTTACTTGCATATAGTTTAAGGTCATCTCAATACTGTAATCTAATTAAACAAGACATCATTTTATTGTGTTTCGATATAGTTTAGAAAATGTTGGTGTAGAGCAATACCTCCTTGGCAAGAGTAAGTCTTAACTATTTTTATCTTAATGTCTTGTTTACATTAGAGATTATAATAACAATGATTATCATAATCATTGACTTATCTACTGGTTATGTTTGCAAATAAGGTCTTTAAGGTTTAAGGTTTTTAATGATTATTAGAATTATATAAAACTTATAACCAAGATTTTAATATCCTTTGAATTATCAGATTATTTGTCATTAGCCTGTCTCGAATAAGAATTTTTCAATGGAGGAATTTGCTCTTAAAGACTGAATCAACTGTGTCTTTAAAATTCCTTATGTAGATGATTATGCCATACTGCAGCATAAAAGCGCACGGCGGGTGCAGGCATCTGATCCAACCTCTGATGGTTTGAAGGTCGTGTAAGCTCCGCTACTATTCTGTAATGTTTAATGAATGTTTTTAACACAGTAACTGTTTGTTATCCCCACAAATCTTATTTTGAAAAGATGATTAAAAAAGAATTCAATACGTGTATCGAAAAGTTAAATGGCTAGTTTGCTGAACATATTTTTTCTATTAAATTTACAAATATGATATAGATTTGCCAGATTCTGTGGTGTTTTTTTTTTCTATTTTTTGAGTAAAAATGTTTGATAATTAACTATAAGTTAACCTATTCAAATACCGGTATTTTTAGGAAGACAGAAATTCTTTTGTCAAGCATGAACTGAATATTAAAATTTTATGTACCAATATCAATTGTCTTCAAATTTATTTGTTATGCAGGAACATGATCTGAGTACAATCAATTTTTAAATTGAAGTAAGATACCGACAAATAAGATGATGTTACAAGTATTTCGACTTACCTTTTCGCAATTTTTACAACCAGTTGTCATATTGACTTGTAGACTTGTATAACTTATCGTTTGGTTATATTTAGTCCTAAATATTTATATGTCATTTATTAAATATTATTTATACTAATTTTACTACAGTGTACATATCTCACTAAAAATAGATATGACGCACGGCGAATGTAATCGGTAGGCAGGGAATGATTACTTCTCCTACATTTATCCCATTTCTAATACTTCCAAGAATCCTTATTTTTTTCATTTTTAAGAATGAAATAATCTCTGGCATGGCGCAGTGGTTAGAGCGTCTGTTCTAGCTTCGCGATGTAAGGAACTGATCCTTACGTCGAAGGTTCGAATCCACTTCGGGACGTGGAGGTTCGAATCCACTGCGGGACGTGAAGACCGGTCCTTCGTATGAATACGTATAAAACGAGTCCCGCTGTGACCGTGGGTATTGGCTAAAAAAGATCTTTCACTGCTCCATATTTTCGAATGCCGAGTAGGTATAAATTTGCCCGATGGCAACTATGTGCGTTGAAATTTAGGTGAAAAAATTTTTGAGAGCGACGTTCAAAAATAAACAAGCAATCAAAACGAACGAAGTTAGGGTTTAACATGTAAAAAACTGAATATTTACTTTTGCTAATGTTTTCCTTTATATATAACACTACTAAAAACAATGCATATCTATAGCCGTATAACTACAGGTTCCTCGAACGTCATAAAACTTCGATGTAAGAACAAAATACGGAATTAGCAGTAATTGACCGCAAAATTTACGCTTTTTTCATCTTCTTTGATTTGTTTTTTGTTGTAAATTGAAGAGAGTAAGATGTAAACTTAAGGTCAAGATCTAGTTAATGATAGATGCCTATGATTTTTCAAATTTGAGAAATGAGTTCTTTTTATTACCATTTACAAATATAGCTTGGTAAAATAAGTGTTTCGAGCCATCACTTTTGAAAAACTAGACAAAAAACATAACTTTGAACAGTAATTCTAAATGAAAAATGAGGAAAGTCTGGTATAAATTTCGGAGTTTTTTGCCATCTCAGGTAAAATAAATGTACCAGTTATGCCAACAGTCTCTCCTAGAGCATGACCGAAAATCTTAAACATGCCTTAGTTTACATGCATCAGTTTAAGAGAGTTGACTTGGGTTTAATTGTGTGAAAACTACAATAGAGAAACTTTAATTTTAAGCCATACGTAACTTACATATTCATTTACTTCAGCGTACATGCCATTTTTTGGGAAAATCTCTACCGTCCAGGTATTTTTAAGGGACCGTCTCTAAATACAGGTACATTTACGATCATAGGATGATATGGCAAAGTTTCAATTTTTCGCACTTTTAATCAATTATACAAATACTAGAATAGACTTTTTGCTCATATTAATATATGATCAGTAATGCTGTTTTCTACATTCTACCGTATTGTTTTCGGAGGCGGCATCTCAAAATGTCAAAAATAAATTAAACTTTAAATATTACAGATACAAAGGATTTATACAAACAATATAAAAAAAATATTTAAGGGAATCAAATTCCATGTCGAAAATCTCAAGAGACTATTTTTTTTCCTTTATAACATTTCAAAGACCTCTTATTTAAGAACTTCAGTTTATCATAACGTCAAAAACACACTATTAGGACGTCAATCCACCTTGAAAAATGCTTTCAAAATCAGTTATATAAAACTAGTACTGTTATTAAAATTTTTCAACCTGTAACTTCATATTGTTATAATATTGTATTAATCATGAGAAAAAAAGTTGCTTTAAAACAGTCAATATGCTTCATTTTACTATGATAAATTTAACCAAAATTTTATTATGAATAAACATAAAAGGATCGGACAGCAGGCACTGCCTATATAAGTCCTCTCCATTTTACTATGATGCGCGAAATATTGCGCAAAGGAAGCTCCAGTTGGTCACCTCATGTGCATTTTCGTTCAATTGAGAAACTAAAAACTTTAAACATTTTTTTTATTTGTCTGATATATTTTCTTCAAAAAGAAGCTGACCCTCTTCTCATAAATCTATAATATTACTCCATCATTAATTTGCTAGTTTGAAGTCTCAAGGTCCTTTGCTAGATATTTTACCTATATAATGTCATTACTTAAGACCGGTAAGAAGACTGACTTTAGAACTTTAAACTGCACTTTACAGCAGTGAGGGGTTCTAATCGCGTCACATGCTGCTGTAACACGGGAAGTCAATTTCAATGTCTCAACCAAAAGAAGTAATATTCAATTTAAAGTTCATGAGCTTTGGTAAGGAACAGTTCCTACCTATTATATCATTTTATGTTTATCTCAACCAGGGTTTGAACTTACCACTTTCAATTACACTTAGACTTTGATAGCTTCAAATGTCCTTGTAAACAACAGTTTAGGAAAACATGCGCCATTTTTACATTATGATAACTGTAAATAAAAAAACTTGGCATGAATAATGTGGCAGGTAACAGATTCCAAAAAATCAAGTCCCAAGAACATTTAAACAATACAAATCTAGAGCAGAGGAAATATTGACTTATCATGTAAATTCTAAATTAACCAGGGGAAGTAAAATGCTAAATTTTAAGGTCCCCTAACCAATCGTGTACTCCTTGTCATGTTAAGGCAAAAAAAAAAACAGACTCGATAGTTAATCCATGCAATGTGTAAATAATTGTATTTACCATTGATTTCATATAGAGCTTTAATATTATATTTTTCTGTTAATATATCACAATGCATTTGTATGCATAAGGTAAATTGTGAATGATAAAATACGCCTTAGCATACGAAGGAAGAAAGATTTTGGACCACTCTAAAGCATGTTAACGAACATTAAAAATTACAAAATAGGAGAGGAGCAAATACGGACCTCCCAGACATCAGAGGTGAGATCGGGTGAAATGGAGGCGCGATCATCCCCGGTCTAATAGTCAAATTCACTGTAAGCTTCTTGTCATGATCATGAAATGGGGGGGGGGGTCCGTGAAAACTCAATGTGTAAATAATGGCCTATCATTCAGTATGAAAAAGGCAGTCAGCATTTGACTTAATAATACATTGTGTTTGCTAACAAGGTCATTGTATCGACTATAGAACTTACAAAATGATTACTTTAAACGAGACTGCTCATATCCTTTTTTGCCAATAACTTACCTTGTTTGAGAAATTGTTCACCATTTGAACATGGTCTTCCGTATCGAATCAACTGAGAGATATAAACTCCGTAATCCGTATGCATGTGATAACGGTATATTGTTGCAGAAAAAAGAGAGGTTGGCGATTGAAAAGTTAAAGTAATCATGTTTGTCATAAATCTTTGTTTTTACGCAACCATAAACGTCCTTTTCTGTGCAAGATCCAAATATGAAACAGATGTGTCAGACTCTGTGGTATCTTTTATTTCAAGCTCAGCTGGATATATCGTGTCGACATAAGAATGGAAATAATTTATTGACAATACGTCGTCGATATATTATAATGTTGACTTGCAGGTATTTTCTTCTTTTTACTTAATAGATTTTGAACAAATTCTGCTTCGTTGTAGTGATATGAATACAAATTTGTCACCTGTCATAAATGTTTAATGATTTAAATCATATTTTCATCATTTGTCTGAGTTTACCTGCACCAGTACCATAATTGATATGCAAATAACGTGTGATGTAGACAGAAATTTAAAATATAAATCAATCAAAGTCTGTATTTGTAGGCGATTTTTGCCTGTTACCTGGGATTATAAAAGAGAGGCAATTTTTCGCATCTTTGCCTTCTGGACTTAATCTGACAAAGGACACAGTAAGTACCTTAGAAATGGGGGGAAATAGTTTGACTTTCTATCAGTTACATTTTTAAAGAAGGTTCATTTTCTTTAAATCGGAAAAATTATTTGATCTTCAAAGAATCCGGGGTTTTTTCTCCGTTTTTTTTTTAAAGATAAATGCTTACAATTTTTTGATAAAATTAGAACCTAATATCTAAGTGTTAAAATATTTTTAAAACTTAAAATTCTAAATTCAGTACAATTTTGCTTTTTTTTGCTATATATATTAAAATTAACTTCAAACTTCAAAAATTTTACTTTCAAAACATTTTAGAATTTCTTTTGAAATTTGGAATTTTGATTCAAACATTTAAAATTTCGAATATTCGGAACTCTTTGATATTTTAAAATTTTACTTTAAATATTAAATTTTCAATCAAGTTTTAAATTTTGAATATACATTGAATATTCTAAGTATCTAAAAGCTCTTGTTTGACCAAAAGTCTTTTTTTCACATGGTTTTAAAATCCAAACCAGGTTTTGAATTTGCAATTTAGGATATTTAAAAAAGAAATTTAAAGATTCAAAATGTGAAAAATGTTTTTAGTTATTTAAATTCGAGTGTTAAAATCAAAATTTTAATTTCTAAAAATCTAGACTTTCCAAACGAATGTTGAATTTTAAAGGTTTGAATTAAATATTAAGATATCAAAATACGAAAAATGGTTCTGAACTTTAGATTGTTAATGGTAATCTTTCTTTACAAGCGATAGATTAAAACCTCAAACATAAAGGAATACAACTTTTTTGGAGATTTGAACTTTGAATTTTCAAAGTAAAAATCTAAAACTTCCTGATTTTACACTTGTTTGGAAAATCAAACTTTATAGGTTTTTGAACAAATATATTGAATTTTGATATACGGAATCAGTTTAAGATCTTGAAATCTATAAATTTGAACAATTATGTATTAAAAATTATTTTTTTTAAAATCTACACAATTTTAGAAATTAAAATTGTAACCGGACCTTTTTAACAGGTAGCCATGATAGCATTTGTACTCCTTGTTTCCGTTGCGCTCTGCAGTGCTGATTATGACAAGAAAAATGTATATCCCGGAGGGGGAGTTTATCCACCTGTAGGAGGAGGAGTTTATCCACCTGTAGGAGGAGGAGTTTATCCACCTGTAGGAGGAGGTGTTTATCCACCTGTAGGAGGAGGTGTTTATCCACCTGTAGGAGGAGGAGTTTATCCACCATTTGGAAATCGTATGTATTTTGTTTAATCTTTTATTCCATCTTTTTCCTCTTAATTAGTGTATTTTAAATCTGGACAAATTGTAGATCGAATTTTTATAGTCCTGAAATTTATAGAAAAAATAATAGTGATTGTCAATCATGGGAATATTTCCTTCACCTAACCGAAAAGCAGCTGAATTATTTTTAATTCGAAACAAAAAAAAATTGATATGTCTCTCATATTTCAATAATGAAAATAAAATACAAGTTACAGGTCTTTGTATTAATTTCCTTAGAAATGCAACGTTTTTTTTTTTTTAATAAAATTTCATTTTCTTTTTTTCATTCTAGGATTTAAATATGGTACCTGCTCATATTATGGAAACACAGAAGGAGACAACGGCAGATCCTGTTATAGTGATTATCAGTGTCCAGGAGTTCAGAAATGCTGCTACGTCTATTACTCCAACAGGAGAGTGTGCCAGGTTCCCCGAGAGTATAGCAAGCCTGGATACTGTCCATACTATCCTAACAGCGTCGGAGGTGGATATTGCAACAACGACTATCAATGTCCTGGATATCAAAAGTGCTGTAAAGGATATTATGGAGATGTAAACACCTGCACCTTCCCTAGATACTTTGGTCAAGGTCTCCAAGGGGGAGTCGGAGGTGTCGGAGGACTCGTACCTGTCGGAGGTGTCGGAGGAGTCGGACCTGTAGGAGGTGTTGTTGGAGGACCTGGTGTTGTCGGATCTGTCGGAGGATTATTACCCGGAGGCGTTTATCCAAAAAGAAAGAGCGTGTATTAAATATGCAAACTTTATAGGACACAAGACGTAGTTTGAAATCTTTTGTTAAAAATGATGCGAACGAAAACGTTACCTGTGTTTGAATATTTATTGCAAATACACGATCTTATGCATTTATATATGTTTTGTTTTCACTTAAACCCTATTAAACGTATTAAACCTGGCCCTGAAACATTGACCCTGATCTATTTTTGAAAACAAAATACTTTAAAGGTATACAGTTCGTAAATTCTAGAATCATCTGTGACGGACCATTGTATTTTCAGCTATTCTTGAAAGTCTTTATTGAAAAAAACATAAACTCCAGAAGCTGCATTGTAGAAAATCATAAATACTCTGCATTTTTGTCTTAACACCAAACAGAAATCATCAAATCTGCATTATCAGGAAAGCCAAACACTAAGATTTACTTTATTAAATTTAATGAAGGCAAAGAACTTCAACAAAAAATACACGTAATATGAATTTACTTGCTCGTTGGCAGAATGGGCATGGCTTCATTAATTAATAAACTGTTAATAGCTGAACCCTGGTATCAATTGTTCAACTAATCAACAGACAGTTGATGACAAAATGTTAAATGATTCATAAGCTGAAAGTTTCTAACTGATAATGATTACTCATAAAATGATACCACAGTTCCTATAGAGATACTGGTGCGACGGAAATACTGCGCCACCTTGCTATATGTAAATATAGCCACTACCACCAGTGACGCCTAAAGTTTTTAGCAGAACAGAAATTTGCATTTGCAACAACCCAAGTTTGCAATTCCAGGTTACGTTGCAAGTGTTCAAATCTCAAAAATGGGGCGCCTGGCTAAAACTTAGCTTCGAGCTTAAACCCCATACCTAGCCTAGCGGTAAATATTCAACTGCACAAACTGTGTTACAAATTGCCGAAATAGCACATATATTAACAAGCAAAACAAATGTCTGCAACAAATTAAATTTGCACAACTGTGCCACAACATATAGCAGAATCAATTGTATACAACAAATAAAATTTGCACCAATTGTGCCATAACATATAGCAAAAACAAATGTCTGCAACAAAGGAAATTTGCACCAATTATCCAATAATTGACATATGGCAGACTAGATGTCTGCCAAAATATTCAGTAAATTAACAGAATCTATTGTCCGTACATATACATATTAATAATTAAATACGCAATAGCAGAGGAAACTGTCTGCAACCAAACACGATGTGCACAACTTGTGCAAAACTACACATTAGAATTGATACTGCAGATCCAAATGTCAACTTAATTTGTTAACCAGTAAGAGTACTGAACAGAATTTGCTAAAATTACATACGCTACAGGAAGCAGCCTTGGACCCCATTCTCCAACAGGTGGATGAACAAAGCCTTTTACTCTAACAAAATAGTAAATAGCTTGCTGATTACGATGTAGAAAAAAATTATTTCCTATCTCGTTAAAGTGGATCCCATCTGATAAGAAAAGCGATAAGTCACCATCTGAAATCTCAGGATATCTGATGTAATGCCCATTTAGAGATTTTACCAAAGTGCTAGTCTTACTGTTCAAACGATGCCTTATTAGCTCAAACGTTTCATGCTTCTCCCCCCCCCCCCCGCCATGCTGATTTTTTTTACCAAAGAACAGTTGTAGGAAACATGTCCTGAATTTTTCTTACTCTCTCCACCATATAATGTCGCAACTCTATTGAAGGTCTACACCCTATATCATTACCACCGCAGTGAATAATTAAATACTTAGAAGGATCATCCAATTTTTTAAAAAGCTTTAATTTTCCCAGTAATTGACGCCAACGCATACCTCCCTGTCCTTGCCATCAAATACTTACATTTATCTTTCCCAATCCTAAAGAGTTAGGTTCACTTTAAGCATAAATTGGTCCTGTTCATATATCAATTAACAAACTATCACCCTCTTTCCTATTTCATATATCAAAATAAAGTAGAGACTTAGTGCTTTCATTTCCTACATCAAAATTTCTTTTTGAGAATCTAAGTATCGGAAAACAGGCTTCGAAAAAATGCAATGTTCTTCAATTTTGCAGAAAACATGCGTATTTGACTTCCATCAGCAAAGAATTTAAATATGAACACATCCCACGATTCAATTTCACTATGTATTTTCATATTTTGGATCAGAGATCGTGCTCTATGTGAAATATTGAAAAATACTTCCACTTTAGGCCATTTTCAAAGAAATTTACAGGATATGAGGAAAATGACACATTTAATGACGTCGTAATGCATTGACTATAGGGAAAATTACGTCATGATTACCAGATACGTGGTCACCAACACTCCAAGTGATAAATACTGCATTTGCAACCTAAACTGAGCGGTTTTGATTTTTCGGAAATTCTCAGGGCCAATTAAGGCCCAAAGTGGCTCTTGCTCTTCGCACCTTCTTCACTAGAATTTACCTCATCAAATGCTCTTTTAATTATAGATGATCCCACTTTCCAATCCGGACCAGTACCTACTTGTACATCAACTACAAATGTATATTGTTAGTTTATTGTATAACATATCTACACTTTTCCAGATAAAGATATCTACATTAACAACATCAATCTAAACAACAAAATTAACTACAAAAGACTCTGCACTCAGTCTAATGGTTCTGTTACATTTCTAGTTGCATCATCACTACGAACTACTAGCCAATCTGGAAGTAGGCACTCTAATGTATGATTTAACTGATGCTGATTTCCAGCGACTTAACCCCATGGTTTCATATTCTGAAAGACCAACTAGACATACATGTACTGTGGTTGCCACACCAATCCTAAAAGAATGTGATTTTAAACTACTTTCATCTACTTCTGCAGCCTTAAGTCCCATTTTTAAAACAGCTTAAACTGGTATCTAGTCTGTGGTACACCATCAGCATGCACAAAAAGTAACCCCTTACATTCGGGTCTTATTCTCATGTAGTCTCATTATCCTTCTGATCAGTTTTTGAATGCTTCAATAAAACCTCTAATCCTTTATCCGTTATAAAAACATCTGCAGAGCTTAATGCATGACCGATATCTGAATGAATGTTAGCAACTAATTCGTTGACTCTAAATTAAACCAAAGAACGCCATTACAAAAATTGCAGTGAATAAAATTTTTTCCAGTCTAGATGAGCACACCTGCCCAAGAACAGCTTTATTAAGACACTTATTGTTACTGGCTTTCTAAGATCCCGAGTTGCTCTTAAGTTCTACCCAAACTCTCTAAAAGCTTGCTAACTATAAAAGATTTTGTGATATCTTCCATGCCCAAAATCTTGCAATGTATCTGCTACATGTAGATATGCCTTAACCGTTTTGTAAGCACACCCTTTTAATGACAAATATGATATAAACTTAACTAAACACCTAATCTTTGGAGGACAAGATAACCCTACGTTATAAACATGACAAAAAAGTTTAAGTTCCCTAAAACCTCACTCATAAACCTTGCGGGTATTTAACAATCTTGCGGATTCACATTCAGTACCATTTGCCGAAAAACCTCTGGAATAGGACTCGGGGCATCGTCTGCTTGTGGATACTAGTAATCCCGCCTTGACCGAGTGAATTGCTGTCGAGAAAGAGCATCTGCTACAGAATTTTTGAAATTTTTTATTGAAACAAAGCATAATCTCCAGAAACTGCATTGTAGAAAATTATTAATATTCTGCATTGCTGAATTAACACAAAACGGAAATCATCAAATTTGCAATAATCGCATGTCCCACTATGTTAAGATACCCGCGAGAGGTCATATTGTCCATATAAAAAACTGATAGGTTGACGTCGAAGTCCTGGGTCAGATTTTTGTTTGTTAAACAATATGTCGTACACAAATGGAAAGGTTTAAGTAATTGATATGCTGTATTTTGTGTAAAATACGACAGCTCTTAGGTATTATAAGTTTAAAGAAGTTCCAAACACCAACAGTGCTTTTTAGACTTGGAGAAAAACACATTATATAAAGGTGTGCATAATGGGACTTTTAAAATCATTTTCAACATAGTGCACCTGCCTTAATTCTGCAGGAAAGATGTTAAAAGACAATGGACTATACGTGAACAGAAACACTTTTGTTTACTTACATTTGGAAATTCGGTGGAAATGGAAAATTTAATTACTTGTTCTGGGTAAAAATATAATTCTAAGCATAGTTTAGTTTATTACAACCTGTAGATAACCATTTCTTTTTCTGTTTTACCTTTATAAAGGGAGATCACTCTGACAGCATAAAACTACACTTCAATTAGAACTCTTTAGTGTGCAATATTTGGAGCTTCCTTCAAAATCTTTCAGTGAAGCAGAAATAATAAGAAAGACGACTCTTAAAATAAGTATCTTAAACTTGTCCATATTGCCCCAAAATGGATTTAGCATACCTTTATAAAATCAAAGTTACAACTAATGAGATAAAAAAAAAATATGAAAAACCTCGGTCAACAATTGACAAATTTTAATTGCATATAATCTAATGTAATCTCATTGCTCAAGACATCATTTGATTGAGTTTTGATCAAATTTAGAAAATGTTTAGCGAGGTATATATAGAACAATGTCCTCTTATCGCTAAAGTATATGTTATTTTTTAATACATATACGTATTTAATAAATTTTCATCTCGCTAGTTCCATTGTTATATATTCATAAGAGATTATGATAATAAAACAATCATAATCATTGACCTAACGACTGGTTATTTTTGCAAATAAGGTCATTATAGTGTAATCTATATAATTTTTTTTTTACATTTTATTTTTTCTTTCCAGCGTTCATCTAGATATCAACGCTCGTAACCTTTTTACTACGGAAATGTTCTCTTCAAGTTGACAACGCCTTTTTGTGAATGTAATTAATGTAGTGAGAATAAAAATAGTACTGAAAGATGTTGGAGTTGAAACTACTGCAAACAATCATTTTCTATGTTTTAGAATTTTCTTCTTTTTTGTGTTTTTGCTTGTCAAATACTTTTCAAGACCCACAAATTTGATTCTAGGTATGCTATGTTACATTTTCAAACACCAAAGCAAATTCAACTTGTATTTAATAGTGAGAATAATTACAAAATATATCGTTTATGAGTGTATTTTAAAAAAAATAATATATTCCGTGCCTTGA